TAAAAATGTCGAAGAAGTATACAATGGGGGGTGAACTTACTCGATGTTGGCGGTGGTTGCGGCGCCCGACGGACGACCGTATGCTCTTGGTGTGATCCAGTGTACTCGTGCCATGTGTACGTGCTCCTATACTCTGAATGGAGCTGCTGTAATGCACAATCAACGCCACCGAGTTAGTACAAAACGGCCTACAGATACTCTGTAGATACCGGTGTGTGTGTGTGTGTGTGTATATACAGGGTGTCCCAGGTGAAGGAGGCCACTTAACACCTTCGCTACCGCCAATTCCGACGACAGAACGGTATTGTCTACGGGTAATGGGGAAAAATGCACAGTTCGAGTATTTGGTATAATATTAGGTGTGTGTATAAGTGCAGGGACCTATCGTATTGTGTACAAGCGAGGAAAATGTAGATACTAAGAGCGTATGTGAAAATAATTGGAAGGATGGTGGACGATGCTTGAGTAGGACCTTGGTGGCGAACGTGTTAACCCTTGACTGCTGGTAACTCGAAAGTAAAGCTCTGTACGACTGAGTCGTACTACGTATTTCGTTAGATAAATTGCATTTGTTGAATATTTCGTATTTTATATTTGCGAAATAAGTAATACGTCGATATGAAAAATGGAATATGGATAGGAATAGCGCTGATAGTGTCCAGCGTTCGATTATCAGTGAGAGTCTGTAGGCGCCGATAGCAGTGAAAGGGTTAAATATCTCCTTCGTTTTTGATTTCGTGAAAAATGTTTGTAGCACGTGGAAGAAAAAGATTTTGTTTTTTACAATTTCATCGTGCTTTTAGTGTTCGAGGCCATCTGAAGATCGTGATTTAGGTATATTCAAATGTATCTTCCCGTCTGCTGCAAGGTGCAATAGAAGAAAATACGTGTTTCTTGTGTAAAAAGCAAGGATGATCTTGAAAAAATTTGAAAAACTCTTTGGAAATCATTTAACCCTTTCGCTGCGGCAGATTATCGTCGAAATCTTTCGCTCTGGCGTTTAAGAATTTTTGAAACCTTATCGTTTTCAAATTTCTATTATGAAATTAAAGCGAGAGTACTCGAAGGTTTGAATTTTAAGCAAAAATCACCAACAGCACGCTACGAGAAAACTTTCAAGGCGCCGATAGCAGTGAAAAGGTTCGTCGGAAGACGAAGGAGATATCTAAGTGACCTCCTTCAACTGGAACACCCTGTATATACGCGTTATACAAACGACGTCCATGGACTTTTCCTCTACGAGTGTATCCGCTTTGTAAAACAAAGAAAGAAGAAATTGAAGCTTACGTGTCCTCGCCTATGTACATCTCTGTTTCCCTTTATTTTCCCTTTCATCCCCAGAATTCCCCTCTAGAATTCATCAATTCCCAATCGGATAGAGAGACAATTCCCTTTGTGAAGAAACGTTAACAATCCAGCGGGATAGAATTATCCATAGTTATTCGAGGTCGAGGTGACGGACACTCGAAAAGGGAAGGTCCGTGACGCATCGTAAATAGAATCGGTATAGAATATTTTAATAAGTGGAACAGTTCGCTCCTATTGTATCGGATCTCCTCGAACGAACGGGATAGTACAACCCCCGCGACGGCGGATCCATCGATTGTCTATAACAACCGAGGCATAAGTTCACCAATGCACGTTCCACAGCGTTATCCAATGTCGCGTTTCTCGATCGAGAACGGCTCTCGAATCTGTGTGAAACACGGCTGAAAGTGTGTTTCATTCTCGGGAGGAAACGTAGAGGGAGAGAGGATCAATCGTATCTGCGTGTGACAAGAACGTTTCTCAGGTCGGTTGCATAAAACGGATCTCCTCCTCTCGCTCGGACCAGAGAACCGGCCATTGTCAGCCGGTCGGCGCGCGTACAATCGAATACAATGAATATGGCGCATCGACTCCCCGACCATTCCTCCTTTCTACCTCTTCTCTCTTGCACGATTTGTTCTTTTTTTTTCAAACTCTCTCTCGCTCTCGGGCGCTTTTCTTTTTTTCTTTATTCCACCGCAAAAAAGTTTCAATGGACGTCGATCGATTTCTCTGCACCCCCCTTGTGCTCCACCCGCGAGCGTCGTAGCCTGTGCGACACCGCACGCGTCACTGAATGCACGCCGTTCGCACAAAAGGGAAACGTTACGGGGGTGTTGATAAAAAAAAGGACAGCGAATGGAGCGAATTTCCTTGATTAGCATTGACGGTGTGACACGCCGGTGGGTCATCGAGAGATTTTTAGTCGTCGACGTGACTCAGTGATGGGTCATTTGACCACAGGTGACAAAGATCGAATAGAGGATGTTTTTCTGATTGATACCGTTGAGTACTGTGTGACCCATCGGTGGGTCACTGAGAGATTTTCTTATTCACCGACGTGACCCACTGAAGGGTCATTTCACCATAGGTCAAATTTCTCTTTAACACTGTTGAGGACTGTGTGACCCATCAATGGGTCACTGAGAGATTTTTTTATTCGTCGACGTAAACCACCAATGGGTCACTGAGAGATTTTCTTATTCGCCAGCGTGACCCACCGAGGGGTCATTCCACCATAGATGACAAACTTTGAATAGACAATGTTTCTCCGATTAACACCGTCGAAGACTGTATGACCCACCAATGGGTCACTAAGAAATTCTTTTATTCGCTGGCGTGACCCACCGATGAGTTATTCCCTCACGAACAACCCCACCTCTGGATCACTACGTTATTTTACAATCCTTCATAAATAAACCCTTCAATGGATCACCACGTCATTAACAGGCGAACGGATTACAAACCAAAAAATCCGTCGTCAACGATAACAAACACTTCTCCAAAATCGAACCATCCAACCCGAAATTTCGCTACAATCTCCAACACGTGTGAAACATCAGAAACTGAATCCTGAAAAATTGTAAATTCTCCGCGGTATTCCCCTCCTAATCTTATCACCATTACCAAAAAGTAAAGAAAGCATGATTCCTCGTGTGGAAGAAAGAAGTTTCACTCTCCGTTGATCGTTTTATAGATGATAGCTATTACGAGACACGTTAAACGTTAGGCGACCTCGTGTGGCGTCGAAGAGCGAAGAGAAAGGTTCCCTCTGAACGCGAACCGGAGGAACGAGGAGGAGACTCGCTGGTTTTTTATTGCATTAGCGGGCCACAGGGTCGGAAAGCCGCTTCTTTCCACGGGATTTTATAAACCTGACAGATTTGTAGCGGCGTCGCTAATTGCGTTGTCCTGTTTTCTCAGAGTTGATTGATTTAGTTACTTAACCCAGATAGTGCCGGTTCTGTGTCCGGGAACACGGAGGAGAGAACGTGATTTCGATGTGCACTCGTGAAAATACACATGTTTCTTCCTATACGTTCCCCGGATGTTCTCTTTTATTCCACCGTCCATTTGTATTCGTCTGTTTCACCCTTTCCTTCCCGTTTTCTCTCCCCCCTTCCTTTCCTTGTCGGTCGTTCGTTTCTCCCTCTAACGATGTTCGTGGTACAAACGAGAGACAGAGAGAGGAAAATAACGAGCACGAAACACCGGTCTTGGTTATACCTCGAACGAGTACGTAAGTGAACTGGCGGGCTTCGATCGTACGGAAGGATGGTGGTAGGCTGGTGGTTGGATAAACGTAATTATATTACAAGGGTGAAAATTCAAGAATAACGCGACCAGACGCGTAGTGCATAGCACGCTTTCGTTCAAATGGAAAAAAAAAAGAAACGAAGAAGAGAAGAAATATACAGAAGAGACGTAGAGAGAAGAACGGTGAAATATTTTCAACGTTCGAACCGGTACCCGGGCGTTCATTGTACCAATTAAAACATGCTGCAAGGTTTCGATAGATAGACAGACAGGTCGATGCTTGGGGCTTCCATAATCCATTTGCAAAAGCTTTAGGCTCATATGTCTTTCGCGCTGCGAAATAATTATTTTAATTTGGAACGTGATACTCTCGCGACAGAATTTCTAATTTTCTTCCTTTTTTTTTTGATTCTAGCTTTTTTTCTCCCTTCAAATAAAATATTTCTATCTACTATAATTTTCTTATTTTTCCCCTTTTAATTCTACTTTTTTTCCAAAAAATTTCCTTCGCATTTTCTCCCTTCAAATAAAATATTTCTATCTACTATAATTTTCTTATTTTTCCCCTTTTAATTCTACTTTTTTTCCAAAAAATTTCCTTCGCATTTTCTCCCTTCAAATAAAATATTTCTATCTACTATAATTTTCTTATTTTTCCCCTTTTAATTCTACTTTTTTTCCAAAAAATTTCCTTCGCATTTTCTCCCTTCAAATAAAATATTTCTATCTACTATAATTTTCTTATTTTTCCCCTTTTAATTCTACTTTTTTTCCAAAAAATTTCCTTCGCATTTTCTCCCTTCAAATAAAATATTTCTATCTACTATAATTTTCTTATTTTTCCCCTTTTAATTCTACTTTTTTTCCAAAAAATTTCCTTCGCATTTTCTCCCTTCAAATAAAATATTTCTATCTACTATAATTTTCTTATTTTTCCCCTTTTAATTCTACTTTTTTTCCAAAAAATTTCCTTCGCATTTTCTCCCTTCAAATTAAATACTTCTATCTACTATAATTTTCCTCTAATTTCCACCTTTCAATTCTACTTCTTTTCCAAAAATTTCCTTCCCACTTCCCCTTCAATCTTCGAACGAAAATATTTCTATCTACCATCTCTAAACGGCGCGCTCTAAATTCTATTTCACTTTAATCCCACACATAAAATTTCTACGTACTTTTTCTCTTTCTTTCTCGAAAAATATACGATCTTCAGGGGTGATATTTTGTTTCACATTTCTCGAATTGACGCTTTTTCCATTTCGAACGAAATTACTTTCACGTACCTATCTGTGTTTGTTACGTACGTGTTCGAAGACGGAAAAAGTTGGACGAGTCGGTTGATAAAAAATGGATCGACTCGTTTAAAAATACAGCGGAGCCGGCTGTATACGAGCACGAGAAAGTATCAGCAGCACCTACAACCCGGTGCCGTGAACTCTCGTATCTACGCCCGTCTATCGATCCTTATACCTTCATTTATTAATGGCGATGTGGGGCACCGTTAACCTTTTCATATGTCGCCGCGCCCACGCCACGCGAATAACGCCTCGATATTTGTCGGCCGATGGGTGTGCAGGGTGGC